ATGGTATTATTTATAATGGTCACCCAAGAGTTAAAGACAAAGAAAGTCCGGGAAATCTGTCCACAACACTAAAGACCTAGAAAATCCAGCTGAGGGCCCAGATCCCATGGCAATGACATGTATGAGATCATCTGAAAACCTAGACCCCACAACAATGACTTATGCAAATCTATTTCACAGATCTGTGCTGGGAAGGCGCAAAGGTCAGTGGCGGAAGCTAGAAAGTCTATGCCAGTGGGGTGAAGAATCTTTGTGAACAGACTGAAGGTTCTGTACTAGAGCCAAGAAAGGATGCTCAAAATAAGGACCAGAACTCCCCTGAAAAGTACCACAGCCGTCTTCAGTGCCAGTGAGGTCTTGAGCTCTTCTGATGAGAAGAGCTGAGTTCATATACCACTGCATGCCCAAAGCAGCAGGACAAAGAAATGTGTTGAAACCTCTGAAACTGTAAGTCAAAAATAAATCCTCCTCATAACTTGAGTATTTCAGGTATTTTGTCACAAAAAGCTCAGAAAGCTCTAAACATTTGGAGAATGGGAATAGGACACCACAATTTCTGATAAGGTGACTTTAGGTCTCTTCTTTTGCTCTCAGAAAAAGGCTGAGTGGGTCTGGGAACAGCCATCAGTCAAGGTGGCATAGCAGCTGAAGACACTACTGACACAGCCTGGTGCTGCTGGGGAAAGACGTAAAGAGTGAAGCCCAGTGCTGCACACAGGCCACTTTGGGGAAGAATCAATAGTCATTGCAGAGGGGTCTTCTGAATCCTAATCCTGCCACTTAAACTAGTGATTTTCCAGAACCTAGAAGAAGCAACCTTTCCATACACAAAAAGCCACTTACCTAGCCCGGCTGGCTGGGAGCCTTGACCAACCAACATTTCCAGAGATAGTCTCCCAACAACAGACATTGCAAGTCACCACATCTGACAGGTCGCCATTGAGGGGTTTTGGGGAACCAGAATTTTAAACTACTTCAGAGAATGAGAGAGAGGAGAGAGAGGGCTGGTTTCAACTGGGGTTTGAAGTATAATATGCCACTCATTCAAATAACCTTGTCCTTCACTAACATCTCCAGGCTTATCTCTAAAATCAGGTTTGAGAGCCTGGCATGGTGGCTCATACCTGCAATCTCAGCACTTGGGAGGCTGAGGCAGGAGGATCCTTGCAAATTTGAGACCAGTATGGGCTACAAAGTGAGCTCAAGGCCAGCCTGAACTGTATAGTGAGATGCTGTCTCCAAAAGACCAAAAATACAATCAATCAATCAGGCTTGAAATAATTTGACATTCACATACCTAGTCTTTGCAAAGAGAGCAGCATTCTCAGGAAACACAAACTCTCCGCCAGAGCCCCAGGTTATGTGTTTGGTTGAACAACTGGGCCCTGCATGGGGAGAGCTTATGTACTCAGCACTGAACTCTGTCCCCTCCATTCACTCAAGTGCAGGTGGTTGACACAGCCTAGAACCCTCTTTCCCTCTCTAGAGTCCTTTGGCTCCCCTTGGGGGAGAATTCCTCACGGAGCACCCATTACCAATTTGGCCTTGGTCATGACGGCCACTGTCTCTGCCTTCAGGATTTCCCCTTCCTGAGGCAACTTCAACGCTCAGCATGCTGCAGCCTGGAATTGCCGCTCCATGTCCTACATTTCAGTCCACTCAGTGTCCCCTCTTCCGATGTTATTCTCATCATCCTCCCTCTCCTCTTTTCACACGCCTTTCCTCTCACTGTAGAGCCACACAGGAATCTTCTCAATTCAGCAGACACATGCTCTGCCATACTGCCCTGGCCCCAACCACTGTGCTCTGTCTGGAACATTCTGCCCTATCCACGCTGTTTTAAAACAACTTCTCTGAGAGAACTTCTCCCTCTACCACCTGCTAAGCAGGTCTCTCTCCACTTCTGCCTCTCAGCACCAGCTTTGTGGCACTTAGTAAAATTTGAAAGCACGCATTTACTTGATGGGTAACAGTGGTTAGAGTGCAGTGTCTACCTGATGGTCTTGGGATCCATCCCAGGAGACTGCTGGAACAGACTTCAAGGTGCGTCTGGGTCATGGCAGCATGACCTTGAGGTCTCTGTCTGGCCCTTCACCCTTCTGCTCCGCACTCTCCCTTTGCTCTATTTCTTGGCTGTCTTGCACTCAGAAGCTTTGCTCTATACTATACCCATGATGTCTCTGCTGGGAACCCAGCGAGTCATGGAGTTAAACTGCAAACAAATTAAATGTGCCCTTCTCTGAGTTGTCAGTGCCATGTACGTACTGCAGTGAGGAGAAAGCTGACTAATACAGTACCTTGTTTAATTCTGTCTCCCCATAAGACTGTGACACCCAATAGTTTCTGTCTTGTTCACCATTCTCCCACTCTCTGAGTTTTTCATGGTACATCAAGAAACTAGAAATGAGTGAAAGATTCTTCTTAGGAGTGACCCTGAAGTAGGTGGGGTCAAGTCCTGGGGTGCTTTGATAGTGATAATGGAGCCCGATCTTAGTTCTAGAGGCAAGGAAAAAGCTTTGTGAGACTGAAGGAGGGGAGCAGTGTAAGTGTTTATCTCTCTTCCATTACATGGGAATGGCCTTCCATTACAGGGGAGCAAGAATGGAGACAGGGAGACTTGCTGGGATCCGTCTATCTGGGATCCGGCATACATCTCCTGAGGAGCTGTTGGCAATGCAGAAACTCAGACCTACCTGAGAGCTGCTACATCTGAGTCCGCATTTTAGCAGGACCCAGCTAACTGTCTGCTCACCTAGCGTCAAAGTCAGCAGTGGTGAACCTACGGCATGTGGACACAGCGGTCACACAGAGCCCTCTCTGTCAGCACACAAGCCAAATTGTCCCAGCAGCTCCCAAAACTCAGTGTTCAGGTTTAATTGCAGCGTTGCCTTTTTGTAGTGAGTAGGTTCTGGGCTACAGTTTGAGGACTGATAGGTCCACCATCCACAGACCTAGGTGTTGATGAACAATAACGATGGCCCCATCTGCTTTGGTGGATAAAAAGGACACATGGATGTGTCTTACAACGCCATGCTCCCGGATGTGCTTAAGGTGTCAAAGCAAGTCCCACGATTCAAGCAGTCCTGCAGCTTGAATCCATGAGAAGTCCAGGAGAGGACAAGGAGGAAGGACGATGGGATGGGGTGGTGCTGTTGCCAGGGTGCGATCCTGGGCAAAGCAGTGCTAACCTTTAAGACTAGTCTGCAGATGGAGAGGCGAGGATTCCTGACTCTGACGATGAGAAAGCCACTTTTTTTGTCTACAACCTTTATTAGTACATAATTGCCAGACATAATGATCACATTCACCATAGGGGATTTGTACCTGTATACAATACGTCTTAATTCTTTTCCTTTCTCCATTTGCTTCCTCTCCCTTCAATCCTTCCTTCCCTCCGCCACACTTACAAAAGTGTTGTTTCGATTCTTTCTCTTCCATTCTCCTTTTTAATCTCTTTCCTTTCTTTCCTTTAGCTCTCCTCCCTCCCTTGTTCCCGTTCCCATTTGAACATGTTTTTCCTATTTCCCGATATCTGTCCTCTGTTTTATAACTTATTTATCCTTTGGGTTTCTCACACAAGAGAAAGGTGAGGTATTTAAACCTGTGTGTGGTTTATTTCACTTAACATTGTGGTCTTTAGGCACATCCATTTACCTAAAATGGACTCAAATGCATCCTTCTTTAAGGCAGCGTAGTACTTCATTGTAAATAAATACCACATTTTCTTTATTCATTTGTCTATTGGTAGACATAAGGGTTGTGTCAAAGATTTCCAAATTGGACTTGTGTATGCTAGAGTCAGCAGGGAAAGTGGCTGAAGCCTCAAGATAACCTCAACAAGCCTCTAAGGAAAGCAGGAAGTGAGGATTCTCCCAGATCTGTGGCATCTCCAGCATGTGAGGATTAACAGTAGCATCACTGAGAACAGAAGCTGTCCACCATCTCTGCAGCAGGGCAAGGGCAACGGTAGCTCCAGTAGAAAAGCCTGGAAATCATAAGGTAGTGCTGCTGGAGGTGACCAGGGAGTTCTCTACCAGTTAGCCAGAATCCCCACTCTGCAAGTGGAATCATTAAGAGAAACATCAGGCAACAGAGAAAAGATCTGGAGACATGCAGCCACACGCCAGCTTCTTCCTGCCCAGCCCATGTAGGGAGTATTAATATTTGTAAGAGAAGAGAAGAAACGAAGAAAATTTGATTCAATGGTTCTCTTTTCTTACTTCATTATCCCGATGAAATGTACCCATTCTAAAGTGTTAACAAATGAATTTATACCAAGAACAATGTCTGAAGTTTCAAGAACAAATTCTTACCTCTGCCTTCCGCCCCCATGATCCATGTACCTCCTAATTGTGAGTCTTACTGTTACATCCCAGGCATTTCTTCACACCCCCAATAGGAATATACAGACTCATTTCACCCAGGCTCCTTTTGTATGAACTATTGTGTCTTGGTTTGATCTAAGCTCAGCCTGTCACCACATTGACCTCTGCCCCAATACATTGTGAGCCCGTGATCCCTCCTGAGAAAAAAGCAACGCTTTATCAGGCCTTTGCAGCACCAGATGTATCTTACATCTTCATAAGTGCAGGTCAAATGTAGGCTGACATCAAACTCCCTTTTCACATCTGTTCACAAAGCAGCATCCTCAGCCTCCCTCCCTGTGCTGCTCACATGGCTGAGCTATAGGACTTGTGTCTTTTGAGAATCATGCTACCTCACCTCCTTGTGGCCCTTCTAGATTCCCCTCAGGCTCATACTTTCCCAGCAGAAGCAAGCTTTCCCTTTAGCCCTCAGCCAGTCCAGTTACATGGAACATAACACTTATATCAATCTATAGGTCTTGTTGTCCAGCAATTACCCCACTCTGTTCATGTGGTAGCTTCTGACGGGCAAGCCACAGAGCTCTGTGAGTGGCTCACACCCTGTTTTGGCACAGACTGTCAGAAATAAGACCTGGAATACTTCTGATGACAAAAAACACAACAGTAAAGACCAACCTTGGATGTGTAGGTGTGACCATCAGAGCCGCAGACCATGGGCGACTGTGCCACAGGACATGGCTTGCACTTGACCAGATTTGAAGGTCCAACCCAAAGCTTGTGGGCTACATTCCCCTTCTTTTGCCTAAGGATGAGAAAAAGAACGGGTAAATTAGTTGACACTTTGGTCCCCCATTGTCTTTCTTCTAGTTTCCCGCATACAAAATTAAATAAATGAAAAAAGAACTCGTAAGACAGGCAGGAAAGTCCTGAGCGACCTTTATCAGAATTCTTCTTTGTTCCAACTCACTGACCAGAGAGGAAGATTTTCGTCCCAAAAGCCTAGTTCCTACTCAATCAACAGATGGACAAAACAAAGAGCAGTTAAAATGCTGAAAAGATCACTGACGTGAAAACAATTCACAATACATTTTCAACAACAACGAGTGTGGCTCAATTATACCCCACACAAGTGTGGCGGGCACAGTTACCCAGAGCTGTTCCCACAGCCTTAAACTCTCCCAGGGCTCATGGGCATCCATCTGCATTGGTGACACACAGGCCACTCTGTGGACCTTTGACAGAAAGGCATCTCCAGCCACCACCAAAAGACTTTATCATAACTGTAAAACACTGTCTCTGGATATAGTTTAAACACTTGCAGCCCAGCTTCCAATTTGCCATTCAACAAAGGTTCTGAGATGATGTCACCTCCAATTGTTAAAATAATCAAAATTCTATTTTTTCATCCCAATGTGAGTTTTTCCCCATTCTAGCCTTTGTCATAATGATAAATGGCACTATTAAGATGGCTTCTGTCCACAGAAGAAACCCCACTTCTGTATCATAAACCACTGAGATAAAGACCTACAGTCATTGCCACCTTTCTCCCTTTGCTGGAGCTGCTATCTCAGAAAACTGCTTGGTGGGATGCCCATGGCCCAGGGGCTGGGTTCTGTGTGGAGGACAAGCATCTCTGGCAAGTATGCCATCCATCAGGCAATTATGGTGCCCTTGGAGTGTTCTGCACTGATAGCTCCACAGAATGATTAGCATTTTGGGTTCAAAAATTAGAAAACACAAGGTCAGACTCACCTTTGCCACTTGCTTATTGTGTTACCTTGGCAAAATACTTAAACCCATAAATCTCAGTATCCTCGTATGTAAGAAAAGGTAAATAGAATCCATGGAGTAGGGAGAGGGACATCTTTTCTATAAGTCTGTCAGGAATTCAGCTGTTGTCTGAAGTAACCCACCCTTTTCCAAACTAAAGGAACTGAGCAAGAAGGAAAGATGCATAAAGCAAAGAGCACTGCTAATCTGGTTCTTTTCCTCCTTTAAATCTACCCTCACAACGAAAAAAGTTTTATTAGGATCCTTTGAGATCACCTAGTTTGACCCCCTTGTTTTACTAAAAGGGAAACTAAAGCTCAAAGATAAGAGCTGTGACTGAAGCAATGGCTCTAACCCAGGCCTTGGTGGCATTCACAGTTGTGGAGAGTGGCCAGCCTAGAACACGAGTTTAGAATTACATTGAGGACTCCAAACACATATGCTCTCCAACATGTCCCTGCTTCCACAGCAGCTAGTCATGTTGCCTCCCTGTAGAAATTTTAAAAATTACCATTTGCATTTATAACTAACTTGGACTTGAGGTCTCCTCCTGTCCTTCACTCTGCATATTTTACTTTTTCATGGCTTGGGTGGATATCAGCAGTGAATGGTGGGTGGGACTCCATGAGAGATGAGCAGGCTGTCAGAATGGAGTTAATCTGAGAACACATGACTCCTTCACCAAAAAACCACACATTTATCATCATCTGCACAGCAGATTGTCTGACACTGATAATGAAACAGAAATGCAAGAAGAAGTTCAAGCATCTGGCAGCCACTCTCCTGGGTCAGTCACAATACAGCTGAAGCAATTCTTGTATAACTTTCCAGAAAGGGGCTATGAAGTCCAATGAGTGGCAGCTTTGCTGGAGCAACCATAACCATGTGCAAAGATGCTCCAAAGGAAGAAAGGCTTAAGAGAGTACAGCTCAGTAGGGAAGAGTGCAGGAGAAGACAAAACAAGCTATCAATCACCATTAATGGCCAATCATCCCTGTCTGTGGACCTCAACTTCATCGTTAAATTAAATTCATTAAAAGGAGTCATGGAAGTGGGTCTGTCAGCACCTTCTAGGTGCTCAGAGGGTGGGTGTATGGGGGGTAGGTGTATCTCTACATTCTGACTGCTATAGTGACTACTCGGCAGCTAATCGTGAAATCACAGAATATCACAACCAGAAAACACTTTAATGCTTATCTAGTCTAGCAACTTTATTCTACAAGTGAGTCATAGGATAAGTGACCTGTGGTGTCATATCGACATATTGCAGTTATTTGTCCTGGATGTACTGTATCGATCCAAATTCATTTTAATCTATTTAGGGATCTGTACTTCCATTTTCAGGATTTAAGTCTATGAATACAGTTATTTTGAAATGTTTTCCCTCCACATCTCTAAATGCAGTGGGACAAGCTCAGCACACCCAACGTCAGGTGGCCACGGATCATGTCTCGATATGACTACCTTCCATCTTTCCTGGACTGCCTTGAGGCGTTTTGGTACAGTCACTAGGCCATTCCAAGTTTCTCAATTCTAAAGAAACATGTATACCTGACAGACTTGACAAATCTAGACATATTTTACCTATTAGGTAGGACATCAGTAGAGGTGTCCTCCCAAGCCTGTGGTCTCTGTCCAAAGACCATATGAATAAAGTTATGTTTGTGCTTATGTGGTCCAACAAGACGTAACTTCCCCAGAGATTGTGCATGTATTTCAATACTTATATCCCCGTATGAAGCATAAAACATAACCAATCCAGTGAAGGCAAGGAGCTAAGATTTCTGACACAAATATTTCAGTGCTTCAGTCCATGAAGAGTGAAACCCAGACAAAGCCGTTTGACAGCACTGTTGTGATCAACATCATAGACATTCGTCAGCTGGGGTGCCACCACAGCTACATATGGAGGCAGAGGTTCCATCAGTCTTCCCCTTGGCCACTACACCTTGACCAGCTCGGCCTGCTTAGTGCCAAGGAGACAGCTTACCAACAGCCCTCCGTGTGGAGAAAAGACAAGACAACCAAGATGTTTCTAGCACTTTCCATTCCAATCTGCTAACCTACTTATGCTCAATCTTTTTTTTAAGTCTGCCAAAATTCCTAGCATATTTTGTTTTTGAAAAGGGAAGATGCTTGTTATGTACAAATCTGCTCATATGACTCAGGTGGTTAAAACCTCCGTCTTCACCTGACCTTCCAGGGAGCAGGCTATGCTCTGAGTTTTAGAGCTTAGATTGTCCAAGGCAGCCTTTGCCGTCTTGCTGTCTGCTCAGCCCCCATCCGGACACATGTACGCATGCACACACTTGCACACACTGGCACATGCACACCAAGCACAGTCACCACCAATTAGGGAGGGTTCAACAGAACATAGGTCTGCTCCCAACTGAAAGCCTGGGTGCCCATCTTGAGCACTTCCCTGTTCCTGCCCCATCCCCTTCTCCATCACTCAGTCCTACTGATTCTATCTCCAGGCGCCCACATCTGGGGCTTGTATGTCTCTTCCATGTGCTACGCAAACATCAAAAGGACTTAAAAACTGCTTTCTGCCCACATAGCAAATGGTTGTTCCTTGCTCAATCTTCAAATCCAATGCCTTCTGTGAAGTCTTTCCTGACCCTGGGAATCTCAACCTAGGCAAAGTTAACTCTGATATGTTTGTTTCAACATTGTATTTGCTCCAACCCAATGGTGACAAACACTACAGTGTGCTTGTCTTCCTTAGTCAGCTGGGTGCTCCTGAAGGGCACTGACTGGGTCTGAATAATTTTTGTGTTCCTTGTACCTAAAAACATATTGGTGTTTTCTGCTTTTTCATTTGACTGTCTGCTGTTCAGTACTCTCACATTCTCCCTTCACCAACCCACCCTTTTCTGTTACTTGCCTCACAAGTGGCATACAGGGCATCTTTGATGACATATTTTCTGACCCAGCAACTCACCTGGCTGCTGAGGAGTGGGGCCACAGTCAGGGCTCACTACAAGAGGGTGGCAGGACAGAGTAATTTTTTGGTAATAAATACCCATACAAGAAGAGACTTCTGGACATAAACCTGCTCAATGATATTCAACCATCAAATTTATTTTAATATTTATTTCAAGGATGAGGGGGAGTAGCAATGGATAGCTGCTAAAAATACATGTATTGGAATTGTTGACTTTTTGCCAGTCACAAAAGGGACATTCATTTTATTCTGTACACTGAGCATTCTGTCGTGTTTACTTTACTTCAGATAGAACTATTTTATTCCGCACATGAACAGCTGGTGAGGGAGTAAAGCAACTCCAGATAATGAATCACAGCAGTGGCACAGCACTTGGTCTGCATAACTATTGTATGCCAGCCTAGACACCCCAAATGCATCTCCCTGTACCTCTCACATGTGACACTCTGAAGCAGATGCCATTATTGCTCCCATTTTACAGGTGGAAAAACCGCATACACAGCCAGTCTTGGTCACCAGACCACATCTCCTGTTCTGCCTTAGTTCTCTGATCAGATCTCTAAGATGAACCTGTCAGCTCAGAGGGGTAAAGACTCCACCAAAGAACCATCCGTTTTTTGGTGACAACAGTATTTGCTTGCTGGCCTATGAAGACTGAATGCATTGTATTTTCATGTTAATAGCAAACTGCCCATTCAAAAGTAAAATTGAATTTGTTTGTAAACTCAAAATTAATTGCTTCTAAGGCAGGGAGGGAAGATACTCAGATAGTTGACATGTTGGTTATTTTGAACCAGAGACAAAGTAATGAATGTTAATTGAAATGAAAAATATGTTAACCATTGAAATAATCTGTCATGTAAAATGATGCTATAATTTCTCTGTTGTTAGGGTTATTTCAGTCATTATGCTGTCATAAAATTACACAGGAAGCACATAATGGCCTGTGTCATTTACAAAAGCTACGCTGAGGAAAGAGGCTTCCACGTGACAGATTCTCATCCTGGCACACATGGGCTCAAGAGTGAGCTTCATTTTTAAATGCATAAGGTCCCAGGCATGAGGTTCTGTCCAAAGGGACTCCA